CTGAGGACAAACTCTGTTATACTCCAATGGTACTCATTTTCATTCATTTGGATTATAAGATCTTCGAAATATGTAAAATATGAAAAATAAACAGAGACAAATAGCTCTCATTTTACACGGAGAGAATATAAGATCATATTCTTCACAAAAAGCAGTGTACTGTGTCAAAGAGGGACAAAGAATAGGGTAAGAAGTTACTTTAAAGAGCCTTCATCTTGCACACAATGGGCAGCAGTGACCAGCCATTTCGGACTGATGAGGGATGCGCCACAGACGTGACCGAGAGTTTTGGCATGGAGGCTGACCTGCCAAGGAAACTCCCCTTGTTCTGCATTCTGACCACCTACAATACGTTGGGTCCTCCCACGTGTCCCACAGTCTGCAAAGTAAACAACAAATCAGTCAAAGGGCTGGTGTGCTGCAGCTTATTGTGAACTGGGTGGAGCTCCACACCTGTTTGGATAAGACAACCTAAACTGCACAGGTGAAGGATGAAGGATTCATTTAAATGGGATTTTTTTGTGACATACCGCAGTTCTCCTCATCAGATCCATCACCACAGTCCGGCGTCCCGTCGCATTCTGGATTCACTTTACTGATGCATTTATTGTCTTTACATTTGTATGTAAAATCTGTGCAGCCTACAGTTAAACCTGAGGAGAGAAGAAAAGGAGAAAAATCAATCCAAAGCTAATTCAATCCATCTCTAGCCATTTCTCTCTCGCTCTCTCCCACCATCTATCTACATGTATAGCAAAGTTGGGCTTATCTGTTGTACCTCCTGTGGCTTTTGTACAGTCTTGTTCATCTGTTCCATCCCCACAGTCGTCCTTTCCATCACATTTCAGCTTCTCGGAAACACATTTGCCATTCTTACACGTTATTTGCCCAGATTGACACCCACCTAATACAAAAAGTAACAGGCATGTTTAAGCATTTCCAGTGCTGATATGAAACACACTCCATCAATGTTACAAGGCCTTACAATCCATCTCATCTGTGTTGTCTCCACAGTCATTGACGCCATCACATTTCCAGAACTTGGGCTTACAGAATCCATTTCTACAACTAATATCAGTTGAACTGCAGCCTGGGAAGGGGGGGATAGTGAACATCAAACATTAAAATGATTCTCAGGATGTGACAAATCCTCTCATAAGAATAAAGAGAGCAATTAAAAAAATGTGTAGTCTTAGCATCACGAGTAAATGGTACTTACTGCATTCCACCTCATCACTCATGTCTCCACAATCATTCCAACCATCACATCTTAGTGCCGGCTTAATGCAGTTGTTATTTCTGCACTGGAACCTATCTGGACAAGCTGTGAATGGTATGGTTGACATGAGAAACACTGTCCTAATGTCAAGGAATACTCATTATTTGAAAGAAACTAAATTGCTTACGATTTTCAATGTCAATGGCCTCATATTGTGCGAGAAAGCCGTGGTCCACACGAGACTCATCAGAATAAAACTCCACAGTCATTTTGTTGGTGCTGCTGGTTTCTGTCACTGACCCATCAGGTTTTTCTCCACACCATCTGAAAAAATGAAATGTACAAGCGATGACACGCCTGCTTTGTTCTGGCATTCCCGTTTTTTTAAAGCACAACAAGGACTCACCTCTTTCCGTTGACCTGCACATAGTCTTTGTCACAGTTTGTGTTTTTCTTTCCCAGCTGGGACAAGAGTAACCTTTTGAATACGAGCTTCACTACCTTGTCAGTAGGGACCTTAATGAATATAAAAAAAAAAGATTAAAACTACATCCCACAATGGGATGTGATCTTCAGGGGTGGTACAGAGCAGAAATATGCACGAAACACGTCATATTGTTGAGTAGTACACCATTTAAGGGACTGACCACTCACCTCAATCAACCACTCACATTTAGTATTAGGAGGGTAGTAATTTGGGTAGTTGGGAGAAGAAAAGTTGCCTTTTGAACCTATCAGCTTCTCACCACATGCTATAGCTGTTCAAAAAAAGAAAAAAGAAAAAGATGCATCAGCACAAATGTCAAACACTTAAGTTGTTCCTTAAAAAACTGCAGGTAAACTTTAACTCCTACCTCTATTTCCTTTTTGAACTTGTGAGACTTGTGCTCTAAAACCTGGGAAGGACTGGTCATGAGTGGCCATTGTCACCAACATTACATTGCCAGAGGACAGAAAGCTCAAACGTTTACTAGGCAAATATTTGCCACACAACCTGTAGAAAGCAAAGAGAAAACAATAACTAACACTGCTAACAGACTGATACACAAGGAAGATTTGGTCCTTTAAAAAGCACATCATATTTCACTCTTTCGTGACATGGATTCATCCCCTGCCCTCCTTCACGTGT